GGGAGAAGCCCCAAAGGCAGAGGGGAGAAGGCCCTTGCCCCTGGCTGAGTCCCATCTGGGTTGGGATCTCAGCCCTGCCCCTGCTACCTGAGGACCCTCAGATAAACCCCCCCACTGGTCAGTGTCCCTGTCTGACTCCACAGATATTCTTACTAATGAATAAAATAACGTGCAGGGCCGGGGAAGCTCAGAGGCTGGTACCGTGAGCTCACGAGGTGGGCACACTGAGCCCAGAAGGCTGAGGGGGTGGAGCATAGAGAAGAGGGCTCACCCGCAGGTGGGGACCTCAGGGCTTCCCCACCTGTAAAATAACTCTGCCCCCCTGGCCTGAGCACCGCAGTTTGTCGGAAACTTTAGCTTCTTTCAAAAGCAAATACTCCACAGAGGCAGCCACGGGAGGACCTGTGCTCCTTTACCCCTGAGCTGGACCAGGAGGATTCAAGAGCCTTCCCTGAATGCAAGACTAATAATAATTACTATTATATACTCATAAAAATATGTATTTATTGCATATTTATTAACACAATCCCAGAAATCAGAAAAAGAATCACTCACAATCCCAGACCTAGTGAATGAGAATTCTGGTTTTCTTTTTTCCCCCCAATTCCCCTCCAGCCCTTGTATGTGCTCATATACAGCTTTTCATGGCTGGACTCCTGCCCGATGACATTTTGCACTCAGTACCGCATCATCGGCATTTTCCCACGTTGCAATGGTCTTCACAGTTAGCTTTTAAAATGGGTGGGCTGCTTCATATCTGAGCTCTGGAGCCAGACATGGAGGTTGCTTCAAGTTCCCTGCTGTTAGGTATAATGCTGGAACTTTGTTCAAAGAGCCTTTTCATTGTTCGAGGATTATTCCCTCAGGATACATTCTTAGGTGTGGGATTGCTGGGTAAAAGGTGATGAATATTTGTGTGGCTCTTGAAAGGGAGCTGAGCCTAGGTTTTGTCTAGAGTTTACAGACAGCTGGTACCTGGGGATTGAGGGAGAGCCGGAGGTCAAAGAGGGGATCCGTGGGTTCCCTAGAGTAGTTAAGATATTTCAGGGGCAATCCCCAAAGGCTGTGAGCCCTGGAGGAGAGGCAGCAGCCTCAGGCTGAGGGCAGATTCCGGAGGCCACCCAGAGGAGCTCCCTCCTTCCCACTCCTCCAGCAAGTGTGGCATCCCCGGTGGGCGATAAGGATTCTGGGAGAGGAAGAAACCTAGGGAAGTGGTGAGCCACATGCATAGGGTGGCCCAGAATTCAGGCAGGAAGAGCAACTGCAGTTGCTGCGGGGGAAATCCACCACGGGCCATGGGCTGAAGCGGTCAAGGCAGGTTGCCCGTGCTCCACACACATTCCTTTGCATATTCAGAATATTTGCTGTGTGGTGAGCCCAGTCCAGGGTGCTGTGGGGCCGGGTGATGGTGGCCGCAGCTCTCTGGGCACCCCGAGAGTCGAGCAGCTGAGGGAGCTGGACTATCGTGGGGTCTCCATGCTGGCTACACATCAGAACCACCTGGGGACCTTTAAAAAGACTTGTTCCCACCTGGAGAGGTTTGGATTGAATTAGTGGCTGATGCGGACATCCACCAGGACTGAGAACCAAAAACTGGATCCAGATCCAGGACTGGATTGAGTATTATATTTTCTCATCAGAGCACTTTTGGATGCAGGGACAGAGGCCCTCTGAGGCTAGGAGGAGGGAATAGAGATGGTGAATGGTGGGGGCGGTGTGTTAACCCCCCTTTGTAATCTCTATGAGTGCCCTTTCCCTAGCCACCCAGATAAACCCTCCGCCCAAATAAAACCACACTTCTCTGAAATGTAGCTTCAAGACTGGTCCCCTAGCTCTCCCCTTGCAAGCAGGGGGCTGCCAAAGCCCCTTGTATGGAAGAGTGCAGGCCCTTTGGATTATCTGGCTGTTGACAGATCCTGGCACTGGGGCTTCCTTCAGGGACCTGAGGTGTCGGGCCGTCGTGGTCTCTCTCTGGTGGGGCAGGGGTCTGAGCCTAAGCATGGCCATTTGGCCTGGCCCTGGCCAGTGTGAGCCCCAGACATGGTAGGTCATCCTGCTCCCCGCCTAGCATCTTCCTTCTCCACACACACTCTTCAGGGGCCAGCCTTTCAAGCTCTGCCTCCCTCCACGCTGCTCTGAGGACAGGACCCACGCCTTGGGAGCGACTGCTGTGCCCCCAACTCCAGAGGGCTTTGCCTGGAAGGCTGCACTCTCTGCACAGAATGCGAAGCTTTGTTGCTCCCTGGCACAGGGCTGTCAGCACCTGGGCATCAGGAGAAGGGTTGGGGCATGGAGTCGGGTGAGCACATTCTTCAAAAGGGGGCAAGAGGGCAAGATGCCTTCCACAGATACCGCATGACAGAAAGGTGTTAGAGGAAGGGGTGCAAGCGTGCTGTTCAAACAGCTATGGTCAGACTGAGAGGGTGGTAGGGGAAGTCAAAGGGGGGTGAGTCCCCCAACTCAGTGCCCCCAGCACGGCCCCCACATGGCTCTTGCCTTCTTCCTCCTCTGTAACAGCAGCAGATGGGAGAAGACACAGTAGGAAGCTCTCTCCAGGCAGCTGAGTGAGGGCAGCAGGTGAGGGAGAAGGAAAGGAGACTGACCTCGAGGGTACCTCGGGACTGACCACCAGGTACTGCCACTGGGAGGAAAGGCACTAGAGCAGGTCAGTGTTCCCTTGAAAGAGAAGTCTGTGTTCTAACCTCCAGTCCCTGTGACTTTATTTGGTAAAAGGGTCTTTGCAGATGTGATTAAGTTAAGGGTCTCGAGATGAGATCATTCTGCACCCAATGACTGGCATCCTTAAACAAATGGGAGAGGGCACAGTGACACAGAGAAGGCCATGTGAACGCAGAGGCGGAGACTCCCAGGGCCACCCGAAGCTGGAAGGAGTAAGGCACCTTGTCCTGTGGAAACTTCAAAGGGAGTGTGGCCCAGCAGACCCCAGGCCTGGGGGCTCCCAGCACACAGGGCTGTGAGACAGCCAGTTTCTGTGTGAGCTACTGCCTCTGTGCTGATTTGTACGACAGCCCTAGGAAAGTGACTGTAGCAGCGAGACCTTCTTTCTGAGCCTGAAAGAAGGGCTCTCAGAGAAGTCCCCGTCACCCACAGACAGTCCCTAAGCAGCTTTGTCTTCCTCTGTACGAGGCTAATTTGTCTCCCAGGCCTGATGGGATGGTGGCCGGGAAAGGGCCTTGTCAGCAGGGCGGTCCTGATGGGGCAGGTGAAACAATGGTTCTAGATCAGTCTGGGCACCTCTCCCAGCCTCGGTTTTCTCATCTACAAAGTAGAGCAGTTAGCCTTACCCTGAGGACTCCCTCCTGGAGGAGACAACAAGATGGGGAGGGCGTACGTGTCAAATTAAGGCTGGGTGTGAGAGGGCTGAGAATGCAAAGAGGGACCCGAGTCCTGCTGTGCAGTGGGATGCCGGCCCCCGCTGTGCTGTTCCTGCAGTCAGACAAGGCATTTCCAACGTGGAGGACAGTCTAGGCCCACCCGGGAGGGGCCAGCGCCTGGGAGGGAAGTAACTTCTGATGCTGTGCACCCTGAACACCCATGTGCCAGGAGCGGCAGAGATAGGAGATTCCAGTCCCAAGAATGGGGCAGGACTATCCTCCCAAAAGGGGCATTTGAGTTTCATTGCAAAGGTGTCCAAAGGAGATGTGACATTTATAACTGGAATTCTCCTTTCTTCCTGCTCTCCTTGGGTCCCTCTGACCACTGCAGATCCTCCTCCCCTTTCGTGGTCCCTGCGCCTGTCGCCAGGAAGAGACGCACAGGGCCCAACCCAACGTGGGTCAGCTCCGCAAATGTTCACTGAGGCCCCTGAAGGAAACAACCAAACCCCAAAGGTTGAATGCACTCAGTACTCTGCAGCGGTAGAGCACGTATGAATGCATCCTGTGGTCCTCACCATGACCCTAAAGAAAAGACGTTATGATCCTGACTCTACAGAAAAAGAAGCCGAGGGTCAGAGAAGAGAAACAACTGCTCAGAGCCATTTGGATACAGGTTGCCCGACTCCTGGTGCTTTTTCCACGTCGCCTTAGTAACTTCCTGTCATCTGCTGCCAAGATGGGTAATTTGGGGACGGTCCCTCTCTGGGAATATCCCGTGCCATGTCTCCCCAACTGCTAGGGCCTCAAAAATCTTGGAAGCACCCCCTCTTCCTCCTGCTCACTCCCACCTCTGCACCTGGGCTCAGCTCCATCTCCCGACAGGAATGCTTCTCCCAGACACTGGTACACGTCCCCTTCCTCCCTGTGCTTCACAGTTCCTTGGGCTGCACAGAAGGACCCAAACCACCCCCTCCTGCCTGGCTCCCTTCCTTCCCATTTCCCTGCTCTGCCCTCCCTGTGTGCTCACCTCTGCCACAGCCTCTCCTTGCTCCCCATCTCTCTCCAAAGCATTCCTTTTTAATCATTCAGCTAGATTTTAATCTTCCTAAGAGCAGAGCTGGGTGTCTGGCACCTACCCACCAGGTGTTCAACCGGGACACGCTGATAGGCTCATTAGTAACCCACTGACCACCTCCCTTTAGGTCGGGAGCTTCTTGATCATCCCTCTTCAGCTTCCCAAGGTGCACTCGGGGGCCTGCAGGGGGCTGGAGTCTGGGGAGGTGCTGTGTATCTGTTCACGTTGCTAGTGGTGGAAGCGGGGGTGAGTTACATGCCTGCACTGTCCATCCTGCAGCTTCTACAGGGTGGACAAGGCCAGCAGCACCAGGCTCTGAACATCTTGGGTCCTTTTCTGCCTCCCAAGTTCATCACTGTCACAGGTATCAAGAGATGGCATCAGAAAACACACAACCTCTTGCCTCGCCCAAGTGAAGGACTCCATATCTAATATCTCAGCCCCCACACCTTCGGGAAGGCAAAGGCAGGATTATTAATGAGGGACTTGTCTGAGGCTGCTCTGAATTCAGCATAAGCTGGAACCAAGATTTACTTCCCCAATGCCAGCCATTCTTGTCAAGCTCTGCTTTTCACAGGACGACCTACCTGTTTTTAATGCCTTCAGTCACTTTCCCTTCAAGAATTCAAGTCTCAGCCCTGGCCGTGTGGCTCAGTTGGGTGTAGTGTCATCTACACGAGAAAGTTGTGGGTTTGATCCCAGATCAGGGTGTGTACCTGGGTTGCAGGTCGGCTGATTAATGTTTCTCTTTCTCTCTCCCTTCTTTGCTCTCTAAAATCAATAAACATACCCTTGGGTGAGGATTAAAACAAATCAGTGAAATAAAAACTGGAGGCATGTTTAAAACATGCTTTATTCAAAAAAGAATCCAAGTCTGAGAGGACAAGCTAATCTGGACTGAGGGTCACACATACATAGACACACACAGACCCACCTTTACAAGATGTGCAGCCACAGAAAAACTTATAAAGCAAGATGCCCAGTAACACGACTCAGGATCCATTGTAAGGGCCTTAAAAACAATCAGTGGAAACCAACTCACTGCAAATGGGGACACCCCGAAACGGGACAGAGGCTTGGCCAAGGTCACAGAGCTAAATGGAGGCGTCTGGACTCCAGGTGCAGTGCTCCTGCCACTGTTTGTGCACTTAGAAAAAAAACACTGCAAAGCAGAGCTCAGAGAGCCTGAAGCCCAAGGGGGTGTGACCCTCCACTTCAGTCGGGGAGTTTGGTTCAAAGGGTGGATTTTCCAGAAAGGGGCAGGGAGCAGGGGGGACAGGAAGTAGCTGCAACCTGTTCTTTCAGCACCTGGGAGCAGCCACAAAGTCTAGGTCCCAGGGGCCAAGTGTTTCTTTGTCCTCTGTGTCCCTTCAACTCTTATCTCTGTGTCCACTGAGTGGCAGAGGCCCAGGCCCGGCACTATCCAAACCTGGGAAATGGAAACCTGGGAGACTGGGAGAGGGGTGGCCAAGCAACACCGCCCTCACCGCCTCGACCGACTTTTGGGCCACTCCGGTGAGAGCCAGGTGTAACTGACAACCGGGCCAGAGCAGCCAGCAGCCTCTCCCACTCGGGAAGAGCACATGTGGGGTGTGGCTGCGGGTACCCGGTTTTGTTTTGTTTTTTCTTCCCTGTGCTCCACCCTATGCATTCTTCTGAAGGTCATGCTCAGGGGCCTGACGTTTGATGAGACCTCAGGCTCCGGACCCTGGGCTCCATCCAGGAAGTGCGGGTAAGCGTGAAGGGCGCGGAGGGGTACAAGGTGAGGGTGGGGCATGAGCACCCCCTGGCGCCGGGCTCCCATCGTACCTCAGCCTGGGGAGTGGTCGTGCGAACCTGTGGAGGTCACTGAGTCCAGTGTCGGTGGCCGGCTGGTTGTTAAGTGCGAGGCCGGAGAGGGGAGGGTGCCCCCCCCCAGCAGCTCCTCCCACGGCCTCCCCGCCCCGCCCCGGCCCGCGCGGCAGGAGATTGCGGGCGGGACGGGAGGGGTAGCGCGCAGACGGCGGGCCAGGTGCAGCGCCCGCCCGCGTGTCTAGGGGCCGCTACGCCCGGAGGAGCTCCCGGGTCCACGCGCCCTCTCGGCTGGACGCCCGTGACCCTCGGAACGCAGGTAACCGAGGGCGGGACTCCTCGCTCGTGCCGCCGCGTGCACCCGTGCGCGCCCTCCCCGTTCCCAGTCCACGGGCGCCCAACTCCGTGGCCGCCCGAAGGCTCCCTGGAGCCCGCCGGCCGCTCCGAGGGCGGGTCTTAGAAAGTTCGCGCCTGTGCGCCGGGTGGCAGGGAAAGGCAGCCCGGTTCCCCGCAAGCCCTCCGCCCGTCTCCCGCTGCGTGGAGCTGGGGCCACGGTGCGGCTGCTGCCGCGGGTGCACCGGGTCTCCGCTGAAATCAGTTGAGTTTTGCCTTCTCACTTTCCCATCGCTCACTCTTCTGAGCCTTTGCTGCCCTCCCCGCGCTACCCGATCCCTGGAAAAAAATTTAGGATGGGGACTGCGGGAGTTGGTGATGTCTTAAGGGATGTTTACATTTGTGCTTCCCGCCCCCTGGGGCCAAACACCCGCTAGGACACCGGGGCTGAGTGAGCAGGGGTGAGGGTGAGGTGGTGAGCGGCCCGGAGCTCAGGGGGTCCGTCTGGGCGCCGTTGAAGTGGGTGCCCAGCCCAGGGGTGTCCTGGCTTCTGTCCTGTCTTGTGGCAGGCCACAGACCTGGATGGGCATCCTTGGCTCCCCCAGCACTTTCCAGGCCCCAGAGACAGGAGCGCAGGAGAAAGGGTGGCCTGCCGCACAGGAGGGGCGGAGACCCAGCGTTCAATAATCCTTGCTCATTTGAGCAGAATGGGCTTCCTCCAGGCTAGAGCGCAAGGAGGCTCCAGGTAGAGCTGGGGGTGAAAAGTGCCCCTTTCTGTGCAGAACCAGAGAGAACAGGTCGGGGGAGGTCAGTGGGTCAGAGAAGAACTAACACAAAACACATCTCTGATTCATTTTACCCCCGCAAGAAACCAGCGTCCTAAGCAGGTCTTATTCCACTGGTGGGTGAGGAGAAGAGGAGGCTCACGAAAAGTGGTGGAGGTGGACCTCAAACCACAGTCTCTAGAGCCAGATGGTGGCTCCTGGGCATTTTTGCTGGACGCCCCAGCTCAGCAGGGGTTTGTTTTTTCTCCCTCTCCCTTGAGGTTTCTCCCCTGGAAGGGGTAGGCTAGGAAAGGGGGCCTCCAAGGAGAAATAAAATCTGGCCAGGAAGTGCTCCTCCAGGACAGTCTGCTCCTTGCTCAGCACTCCAGGAGCGCAGGGCCCTGTTTTGTTTCTGGTGGTAGCCAGAGTGCCTGGAGCAGAGGTGCTCGACATGAACTGGATGAATTAACCTGAAACGGCAGCGGTTCTTTCCCAGCTGGCGCCTCTCTGCCCGTGGTGAGTGGAAGAAAGGGCACTCTGAAAAGTTGGACCAGAAAGGGGCCGCCACCACCACCAAAGGCCTTCGACATTCTTACCGACTGGAGGCAATGTGGCACTTTTCTAACCAGTGAGCACATCCATAGTCCGGTGTAGTTTTCCAGACAGACCGGCTTTTGCTTTCTCTCATCCACTACTTGTCAGGCCAGGGGGGAGCAGAGGGAGGTGGCCTGCTGCCCAGCTTGGCCCACCCTGGCTTGGAGGCAGCAGAGGACCCTTGTCCCGCCTACACCCAAGTCTTATCCATCCCTCCAAGTCTTATCCATCCCTCCAGAAAATCGTACTTGGAAACAGCCATCTTTGTTGCCTCCTCCCTCTTGTTACCATTCCCCCGGGGCAACCATGGACTGAGGAAAGAGAACTTGCTTTTCTGGGCCTTCATTTCCTTACCTGTAAAATAGGGACAACAGAACCTGCATGGTTTTCTGGCAGAGTGAGCAGCCCAAAGGGCTCTGTAAGTGTCGGCGCAAACCATAGTCACCTCCTCCTCAGGTCCCTCCGTGTCAGCCTGACCTGCCCAGGTGGGCTGTGGGTTCCTCTGGGGAGCGACTCTGCATCTTAGACTCCCTCAGGGAGCTGGCCTCATCCTGAGCCCACGGTAGGTTCACAGGAAGTATTTATTGATCAAAAACACTCTCTACAGGATGAGAAATTGCTAAAATTGGTAGAACAAGGGAGAGTTTTTCATCCCTCTCCCCCTCCCCATGACAGGCTCCCGTACACAGAGGGTGGGGAGGGGGGGGGTGAGAGCCCCTGGAGACGGCAGTGGGCAATGGTCGTTGTCTTCCTGTTTACCCGAAGTCAGGGTCCCGGGGGCTGGCTATGGAGGAGGGCCCTGGAAGGTTTTATGCGGCTGTGCTCTGAAAACTGAGGCCCTGCCAGGAACCCATAACCCCCTGGACTCCTCAGCAGAGCCCAGTAGCTGCTTTGGCCTGAGGACACATCAGGACACCCAGCGTTGGTCAGTTCTTTTCCCTAGAGGAGGCCACTGTGAGTGGTACCAACATGCTCCCCTCAGTTCCCTGCAGCTGTCCCTGCCGAGCTGCCCACTGCTGGTTCCTAGGTCTTAACTAGAGCTTTAGACTCAGAATTGCTGAGCTGGAATCAGCCTTGGAGGTTATATCCTACACCTTTCCCTCTTATTTTCCATAGTCTGTATTGCCATGTAACATGTACATTTCACTTTTTAAAAGATCTTGTTTATTGCCTGTAGTCCCTGTGAGATCATCAGCTCCACAAGGGCAGGGCTTTTGTTTGTTTTATTCACTGCTCTGGCCCCAGGGACCCAAGCAGTGCCTGGTGTGTGTGGTGGGTGCCTGGTTCCATGTGCTGAATAGATGGTGCATCAAGCCCCCCCATCCTCACTGGACAGATGGGAGACTGAGGCCCAGAGAGGAGGAGTGATCTGCTGGAAGCAGCACTGGAGTTTTTCTTGATTGGACTCCAACTAATTCAAAGCTGGGTCTCTGACCCCTGCATGGGGTTGCTAGGGGTGCCTCAAGGCAGCTGCCTCACCCAAAGGTGCTACTCCTAGGCTGAACAGACAGCCACCTACACAGGGCGGTTTGAGAGAGCCCGGGAGCAGTGCTCTGGGTCAGACCCTCCTTCTGAAAAGAACCCTTCCAACGCTGCCCTCCAAGAGTGGGCAGTTCCTCCGTTAGTGGTGAAAAATGCACCCTCTCCAGGCCTCCTTTTAAGCTCCCCAGGCACTGGAGAACCCAAGGAGACCAAAGCCAAGTCCCCGCCATCCTGGGGAGGAGGGCAGAGCTTCAGATCACCTGGGCCAGAGACGGCAAACCTGTCTGAGAAGATGCAACCAGACATGTGGGCCAGGAGAAGTGAGGACATTATTCTCCTCCGGGCCCCGGGAAGGCGTGGGGCTGAGGCCCCACTTAGGAATCTGATAAGGTGGTTTCCTTGGGGGCCATACAAGCTTGGATTTCTGAGAGAATGTGTAGAGACAAGTAGGATGGAGAAGCCCAAATGTGGGATGTGGAGGTGGAAGTCCAAGAACTATGTCTGGGTAGGAGCTGAGCTTTCTATGGGATGGAAATACAGGAGACACATCCACACACACCTAGCAACTTCAACCCCTTTTCCCGTTCATTCTGTCAGCCACCATTGTTTCAGCAAAGGAACATGATCGGATTCTAAGGCCAAACTGTGGGGCCATGTGCAGTTGGTTGCAGGGGAAGAGACTGGTGGCAAGACTTCCTGTGATGCTATTGCAGGAGGAGAGATGGCAGCTGGGGTCCCTGGAAGCACTTCCACTCCCAGGAAGTATAGACCCTGGCTTCTTCCCTGATTGCCTGGGCAGCTACATTATTAATGAGAGTAACAAACATCCAACAACTGGGAGCTGGGTGTTAGGCCCTGTCCTAAAGCCTTGACATGCATTAGTTAATCCTTACAGTTACTCCATGAGGTTGAAACTATATCAGCTCCATTTCACAGATGGGGAAACTGGGCCTCAGAAAGGTGGCATAACTTTGCCCAAGGTGACACTCGTAGGGACAGGGGCACCAGAATTAGCCCGAGCAGTCTGCAGCCTTAGCCTCCACGCCATGCTGCCTCAGTCGGCCAGGTAGGCCACGGCCATGGGACAGGGAGCCTGGAGGCCAGGGGGGTAGGCTCACCCCTCACAGGGGAAGCAGGTCCCATGCAAGCCCACACCTTACATCCGTGGGAGCTGGGGTTTCCCGCAAGCCCTGCTGTTGACCCCCACATCCTTTTCCATTGCTACTGTGGCTTGCCAAAGTAAGAACCGGGATGCACCTGAGGCTTGGTTTGGGGGAAGAAACTCCAGAAGTTGGGACTTGAAGGGTTTGTGGGAGTTTATCAGCTTGTTGAAAAAGTTGTAGAGGAAGGGAACAGGGTAGGTGAAGGGAACAATAATGATTCTTAGCCTGAAGAAATGAATTCATAATGGTGACTCATCCTGTTTCTGGAGCCACTGTAGGTTCCCCCACAGCCCCCACCGTCCTGGGTTCCCATCCCCCGAAGAGGGGGAGGCCTTGGCCTCAGACACAGCTCATGCATTCCGTCCCCTGACCTTCTCTTTATCACCACCATCGCTACGAGCCTGGTGGCCCTCCGCAGCAGTGGATGGAAAAGTACAGCTGTTGTGACATGATGTGAGTCAGTCCTTCATAAATAATGGGGTTGCACCGTCAGTTCTGATGCCTGGCCCTGTGCCCTCGTGTCTGGCCCAAGGCTGATGTTAGCTCCTGGGGAAAAGGACAAGGGTGGCCCGAGATGTTATTTGGAAATCATGCAGGATGGCGATGAGGAGCCAACAGGTCTGAGAGACAGTCATTTTTGGCATCAGAGGAAAAAAGACGGTCTTCCCCAAAGCAGTGATCTAAGGTGCAGTTCCCACCCGTGCCCTGTTCTCTAACCAGGGTTTATTTCACAGGGTTGTGCACTCTTCTGGCTTTGATACCAGGCTGGGACCACCCTTAGCATGTTTGGTGCAGACTTGAGTGACAACTTTTGCCTAAGCCTCAAACAGGCATTTTTTAAAAAATCCTCACCTGGGGACATTTTTTTTCATGGCTTTAGAGAGAGGAAAGGAGAGAGGATGGGAAAGAAAGAAATGTTGATGTGAGAGAGAAGCATCGATTGGTTGCTTCCCATCACACCCAAACTAGGGATCATACTTGCC